TCTTTCCCTCTCTCAATGGTGTGTCCAGAAAAGGAAGTCGAGCTCCAGTGTGCATTTGATGGTGAGCACCTCCCGTAAGCTGCCTGCGATTCGTGCGTCCACCATTCTCATACCATGCACGCTCAGCTTGTGCTCATCACCTTACATAGCATGTTTGGGGAGGGTGGTGAGATGGGGAAATCATGCACTTCAAAGGTCCATGTCCTCACAAAAAGGACCGTGTGATTGGTCAGACTCTGGTTAATCTCAGGTTCCCATTCCCTACAGAAAATTGGCTGCTTAAAATGCAGTTGAGCATTGCCTGCTATTGGTGTCTGATGCGAGGTGAGAAACAAATGAAGAAGGCAGTACCTCTCCTGGGATGGAGTGCGTGGTCTCTGAACAACAGATCTGTGCCTTGTCTGGACATGGGGCCTTGTCATTCTGTTGCAGAGGTGCCAAAAGAGGAGCAGGTGCTTTGCCTCGTGTTGGTGCTGTCATCCCTGGAGATAGCCCTGCAGTGTAGAACAAACTGGGAGTCGCTCCAAATATGGCAGAGGCTTCTGATGGGTCTCCAGCGTGCACGGAACAAAGGTGCGGGCACAGCACCACCTGGTGGCTTAAAACTGCCATTAATTTATTTTTGTTAGACTTCTTTCTATATTGAAAAAGGTTTGTCAGAGCCCTTACAATCCAAGTCTCTGTTCTTTGGATCTCCATTTTGTCTCCCAGCATGATCAAGTGCCCAGTAACTACTCCCTCTTACACTTTATCCATTCCCCTTTCATTTATCCAAATGTGTTTGCTATCCCCAGAATATGCTGGAAAATGGTGATTATACTGATTCTTCAAGGAAGAAAAGAAAAAAAAACAGCCAGTGCCAAATTGTAGATTGATGCTACTGCCATTTGCTACTGTCCATGTCACTGTTGTGAAGCCATGGGCAGTAACTAATGTGAAAGTATCCTTTGTATTCTGATTTGCTGGATTGTGGTTCTTGCCTCCTTCAGGTGGGAAGAAGACAGTGTCACTAAAGGAGAGAAACTGGCTTCCCTGTTTCTGCCTGTTTCTCCCCCTTTCATTGTCACTGTAAATTGTTACAAATAAGCAATAAGAGGTCACAAAGGGCTGCTTAGAAAGTCTCTTAGTGACATGTCACTTCCAGGGCAGCATTCCCTGACTTTTCTAGCCCCAGCTGTGTTAGATGTAAAGGTAGGAGATCTTGTACAGGTCATCAAGCGCCGCGCAGCCCAGCTCAAAGTTACATTTCTTTTCCTACTTTAAGGCAGCTGGAAAAGGGAAACTAAATAGGTGTCTGTCTCGGGACAGTGAATTTTGAATAAATGACCAGTGAATGCTAGAAGTGTCCAGGTGGCTGGTGTTTGCTTTCCTGTCTTTCAGTGTGTACCCCAGTGCTGTGATCACTGGTTGGTTCTCTCTCTCGCACTGTCGGTGTTGTCTGTGTTTGTCTGTCTTTCATCTAGCACAGGAAATGCATTCAGTATCTGTGTCAAAATGAATTGTATCACAGATCTTCTGAATGGTCTGACACAGTCCTAGGTAAACTGCCTTCTTTTTAGAGTCGAGACCTTCTGTACTGGAACAAATCAGCTAGGTTTCTTGCTCCCCATTGATGTTGATGTTAATGGCGGGGTGATGCATGTGTAAAATCCTGTGAGACTCGTATACACTCTGAGAGCCCATGTGTAGGATGAAGGGCAGCTGACTAAATGGTCACAGAGCAGGGGGACAACAAAAGGGAGTCAGTAGATCTGGCACCTCCCATATGAGCTGTACATGTGAAGCACATAGGTCAAGTTTCCTGTCTCCTTAGCTTACCAACATTCCCTTTGCAGTGTTTTAGTACCATGCTGTAAATCTGGGCAGAGACCTGGAGGCACAGTCCCAGTCAAACTAGAGAGGAGTGATGGTTGCAGAAAGACAGCTCGGGTTCCACTAAGGAGTGTGTATGTTTTGGAAGCTCCCGTGGTGCGAATTTTAGTGAGGGAGATGGTCCTGATGGCAAGTGGGAAGTTGCAGAAAAGCTGACGCTGAGGGCCTCTTCCTGAGGTGCTGAGTTCTAGCAGTTTCTTTCGGAGCTGTTTAGATTGAACCCCTGGGATGAAGTCTTTACTTGCCTTCTAGAAATTAGTCCTCTATTGAGCACACCTCAACTTGAGTCCAGCTCAGAATGTTCAATGTTGTTTTTTTCAAGCACCCTGTATCATTCCCTTTCTAGTATACTGAAGTGTAATGATGGCGTCCCTTGGCTGCTGAGCAGCACGTGAATAAAGGAGCTGGATTTAAACCCCCTTGAGACAGAGCTAGTAATTTCTAATAGACTGTAAAAGCACTTTGGTATGATGGGAGGAGGCAAACAGGATTTTCTACGGCCGTGGTCTTTGTGCCACAAAGCAGCTTGGGACTCGTTCTTTTAGGCTGCTTTGCCCCTTTTACCTCTTTGTTTCTGGCACCAGCAAGCTAGAAATGCACCCAAAGAGTGTTTGCCCTACTAGAAAGATGAAATGAGGCAGGTAATGAGATGTAAGGCATGTCATATTTGTGAATGAAGATGTTCCTCCTTTCCCAGATTTTTAGGGATGAGCACGTTTATCCATTCTCTGGCTCTGTGGAATCTTTCTTTCTTTCTCTCTCTCTCTTTTTTTTAACCGAAAAAAAAAAAAAACAAAAAACCTCTAGCAGGGCGTGGTGCCTATGAAGAGACGCTCGTACAGGCAGGGATGGATGCAGAATCTTATTTTAAGATCTGCTTCTCATGGATGTGTTTAAAATTCTCTTCGGACCCTTTCTTGTCGTTCCTTGCATTGGTTGCTTGGTGCAGAGGGTTCTGATACATTGGGGGTTTGCCCTTGTTCTACTCTGCCCCAAAAGATAGGCAGACTGCTTAAATGTCTTTGAGCTACAGTGAGCCTGTTTTTTATCTTATTTTTTGGTGTTGGGTACAAGAAGAATGTTAAGGGGAAAGTGCTTCAGCAGCCAGTCAGGTCTTCTCTGTAAGTCAGATTTAGCCTGTTTTTCAGTGCATCGAGAAGAAGGTTTGAATTTATGGATGGGGGAGTGTACATGATTGAAAACCGCTTCAGGGCACCTCCTACCTAACAAGACCTGGACTTTGGGCATTCTCTTAATTAAGCTGAGGCATTTCCATGCTGCAAGCGTGGAGGGGAGTTGGTAACTCTGCTGCTTTTGTTGTGCTATGGGAGTGAGGAGAACAGCCTTTATCAACAAACTTCATAATCTGACCCAGCTACAAGAGAGACTCCTTGAGAAAGGCATAAATCCCTTGGAAACATCCCTAAGACTCACTAACCTACCCAAGCAATCCCCTGGCTTCTTCCTTGGTATTCTCTCCATGCCTGCCGTGAACCTCCTCCACCCTTTCTCGTACTAGCATTGCACTCTGGAATGCCAGCATCATCCCACACTAGTCTCATCCAGCACACCCTGGAATACCATGGGCACAGCTCCAGGTCATCCCAATGTGATGCTGCACAACACATGCCCTATACTGTCACTTAAAGTCTGTTAGCACACATCCTGTCACACGTCAGCTCCCTCTCTGCTGCAATGAAGTTTCTTGGGAGCACCCCTCCTGGAAAACCCAAGCCTTTTGGGTTGCCTCCTCTTTCTTTCCCTTGCCTTTCTTATAGCTCTAGTAATCCACCCATTTTGGGGCATTGGTGAGTTCACTATTGCACCTCTGAAGAGACAGGTGGTATCCAATGACCATGGCAGTATTCCTTCTTCCTCCTTCTTCCCTGTTCTTGCAATTTGTGGGGTGGGGGGCTGAAAAGATGGTGGGGGGTTATGAGAGCAGTACTGTAATGTTTTGCTGTCATTGCTGGACAGCAAGATAACTAAAACAATCTGTTTTTCTGTCTCAGCCACAGAGCAACAACAAAACCAGTCTAGTAAGCCCAGCAAAAGAAACTCCCCCAGTGCAGACGTCCATGGTATCTTCCCTGACCACTATTACTTTTTTTTTTCTTGTTTGGTTTAGTTCTGACTTTTGTCCCCTCACCCCAGTGCTACCTGTGCTGCTCTGTCTGAGCTTGTGTTTTGGCTTAGTTCTGTCTGTGTTCTTTCGCTGCTGTGGGAGCTGGGGTGCCAACTGATGTAGCAGTTGGATACGGGGACTTCAGCTAGTCTGGACTGTCCCTTGTGCCATCCCTGTATACTTCTGTGTCTCCCATTCAACTGTTCTGGGTTTTTTTTTATTTTGGTTTGGAAGAAGAGACTGATGGAGCAAGCAACCATATCTACTTTCCAACATCCAGGAGAAGGAAAATGGGCTTCAGCACCCCATGACAGAGACAGGGTGGGCCAAATAATTGAGTTTCAAATGAGACCCTCTGTGGCCTAATTGCCCTTTTTGGCTATATGGTTTTAGTCCTCTGCAGCTGGTTGATCTGCTGTGCTGTCATTGTTCAGCAGTGTCGCAGTGCATGCAGTGGACTTCTAGAGAGATCTGTGCTTTGTATGTTTAGCAGTGTAGCCCAAGTAGGCTCTACCTTGAATAATCTTGGAAAATCAGGCAGCATGTCAAGTAGTAACAGATTGGGTGAGTGTGCTTTGCTGCAACACATGGCCTCTGGTGGCCACCTCGATCTTCCTTCAGAAGAGGGATGTCAGTGGGTGAGTGATGGTGCAAGATCTCAGTGATGTCTTCTAACAAAAGGATGAGTACAGGAGCAAGCTAGCGCTCTTGGAGGCCTGGTAGCTGCTTTCTGCTCTGTCTCACGTTCCAGAGAGTTATTTTTTTCTTGGGACACTTCATAATTTTCAGCTCTTCCTGCACTGGCTTAGCCTGCTGCTGTTTTGATGCTGAGAATGCCTTTCTATTTTTACTATAAATGTCCCATTTTGGAGACTTTGTTCTAGCAAAATGTGCATTTTCTTTTGCAGCCTGGTAGCCTAAGCAGTTTCTCACTGAAAGGCACTGGGACACTCTGGCTTATTCCCTTTCTTTTTATGGAAATTATGAATGTCCCTCTTAAGAATAAAGTACTTGGCAAACTCAATGGAAATCTGGGAGACAAAGGCCCCAGCCCACTACCAGTCCTCTCCCTTAAAATCTGATTTCTGAGAGAGATGCTGTAGAGGGCTTGTTGCATAGTCAACTGTCTTCTAAGTGCTGGAAATTTATGCTGAGACTGCTGTTTGGTCATAGTTGTAAGGCTATCAGGCCAAGGGCAGTTCTCAGGGCTCAAATTGGGACCTACAGGGCACCTGGGGGCTTTGTCTCCTCATGAATGTAGCTGTTAATGTTTCTCTCTTAGAAGCCCTCTGAGTAGGGAGTGTGTGTGCGTGTGTGCACGCACGTGTGCAGTTTGGAGGTGTGTTGTGGTTTGTTTCCATGTTGGTTACTTGCTGGAGGGGGAAGACAAATGAGACACAGGCGTCAGAATCTGAGTTTAACTTTTGCCTTCCTCCCTACCTAGGAGCCTCAAACAACTGTTGTCCACAATGCTACAGATGGCATAAAGGTAAGGGGAGGGACAGCCAGCATTTCCCTCAGAGAAATCCCCACATCTCTACTTAACCAATCTGCTCTTTTCTGTTTCAAGTCCCTGCCCCTCTGGCGACTGTGTCAATGCATGATTCTGAACAGTAACATTTGGATATCCCTGTCCTTTTCCTGACATGATGTGTATGATTCCCTGTGAACTCAGGGTGGAAGATGAGATGTGCATATCTACGCATGTGCCTTGTCTCTTCAGGATTTGGAGGCCAATTCCTTAGAGTGAACTTGTAGGTCTGGGATCTCATTTACTCGCTCCTTGAGGCTCCTACAGATTGTGCCCTATATTATACTGTTCCCAGGGCTTGACAATGTCTGTTCTCAAATGGCTCCAGCATCATATGCTTGCACTACTTCTCTTCAGAGATTGCTAAGCCTAAAAGATCTTGCTTGATATTTGCCTCAGTTTTCCTTTGCATAATTTCATCCTAATCCTCCTAACCATAAATGCTTTTATCTTGTTCCTTCCTCTGTTTTATGCAACCCCCATCCTCTTCTGCAAACAAATGAAATAGTTTTGACTCTGTGGGCATTGCTATCTAGTAACGTTCTCTTCTACCATGCAGGGGTCCACAGAGAGCTGTAATACCACCACTGAAGATGAGGATCTGAAAGGTAGGTGCACTGACAAGTCCCTCTGACATTGTGAGGGGACAGAGAGGAGATTCTGGAGATCCCACCTACCACAAGTGATCCCAGACTTGTCTGATTGAGTTCCTGAGTTTGCCATGGTTTTCTTTACCATTCCCCTCATGGCAGAGTCCTGGGTAGGCACCTTTCAGACTGCTTTGAGGAAGTTGCCAGTCCTTCCTCTGCTGAGTGGGAATTCCTTCCTCATAGATGGATGGGATCTCTCCACTCCCAACCTCTTTAGAGAACTGGAGTCTCCCTGTTTCTTCCCTTCAGATTTAAAATTTGGCTGCTCCTTCCTTTGCCTCTCCACAGCTTGTGAGCAATTGGACCCTTCCTGTTCCTGCTCCCCCATAAGGGGATTGGAATCTGTGTACTCTGCTCTGGGAATCTTTGTTTTCACTGCTGTTCTACAGACGTCTTTGAATGTCTCTTACCTGTGCCAGCACAAAGGATATCCTCTATTCTCTGTTCTGTTTGTGGATGAAGCTGGAGCTCCAGGACTGTCCCTGCTTGGGGTGCTTTAACAGTGGGAAATGAGATGTTAACAGACAGGGGTGAGATTTTAGAGCTGTCATTGACCACAGCATAAACTCTTCCCCCTCTGGTGATGAACTTTTAAAAGTGCCTTAGATGAACAAGCGCTGCTTATTCTGGAGTGTCAGATTTATTTGTGCTGCTTGTGCAGCTGTCTAGTATGTTGGGAGGGGCAAACAGGTCAGGAAATTCTGGTCCCCACACCTGGCTCCCCAGTGAGGGGTGCCCTCCCTGCGAGCAAATTCTGGAATGTGCCCTTTTGGGTGGGGAAAGAAATAGTAGCTTTTTCATTTATGGGAAAGCATCAAGGCACAGGTACCCCTGCCCCGCTCCCTTCCTCCCCTCCCCCTGCACTCCCCACTTCACCTGTACTCAGAGCCCATTCCGTTGAACACTTGGGAAAGCACTAGTGCTTGTCTGGTGACACGGGTACTGAGATCATGTCAGGCAGTAGGGACAGTTCTTGATGCTGTTCTAGTACTGTGTCACAAGCTGCTGGTTGTACAGTTAACTACTGTTAACTGTTCTGAAGACTGACTGGGAACAGCATCATGAAGTGGACACACTCTAATACAAGTGCAGTTTCAAAGGAAATTGGCTTTATTGCAAGGTAATACTCTCTCTCTCTATTTTCCCCAGGTGAGGAATACATAATTATAGAATCCAGTTGGGAAGACAGGGAATGGGTCTCTCAGATGATTTTTAGCACACAGTGAAGTATGTAGCCTCTAATCTCTGGATACCTAGATTGGTACGGGAGGGAAGGAGCTTGTGCAGTGACCATCTGACTATGCCCAGCTCTAGTGATACTATTAGACCTTTATTTCTAAGCTTTTCCCTTTCTGGTTTACCAGGGGTTGCTTTTGCCAGGTTATAATGTCAAGTTTTTCCCTTGAGCCATTGAGTCCCTCCTCTATTCTTTGCTGTATACAGCCTGGATTAGAGGTGCTGGGGTTCTCAGACTCTGGGGAAAGAGAGGCCAGCTGGATCATTTATTTTCTACCTCTTTGAATAGGAGCATTCTAGGGAGGTCTATACTGACGTGGAGCAGTATAGAGCTGTTAGGCCCATAGTCAGTCATGGCTTGTTGAGCTGTTGTTTCCACTGTAGCAGGGCTAGAAGGGAGCAGCTCCTCACATGCCATTTATGAATCACAGAGGGATTATGCTGTAGAGCAGTCTGCTTGGCTTTGCCTTGGAGGATGCTCGTGCAGGTTTTTGTGCTTAGCATTGTGGTTTCTTTAATGTTCTCCTACTTCTTTTCCCTTTTTTTATTTACTGAACTTGCGTGTTTTGTTTGTTTTTTGTGTTTTAATTCCCTGCCATGCTAGCTCCCCCTCTCTCCACCGGGGACGGCAGCTCAGTGCTTGAAGGACGGAGGCACAGTGAGAGCAAAACACAGACTGAGACCATGCAGTCCCAGCTTTCTCTCTGTTTCTCAGCCAGTAAGTCCAGGGGTACAGCGCTCCACAGCATCTTTCCCCTTCCCCTTCCTCTGCCATCCCCCATTTTTCCCACCCCAAGACTTTCCTTTCCCCAGTTTCCATCCAGAATGTTGACTTTCGTTTCCAGTACTTCAGAATAAAAAAGATTCTCTCCCCTCCTGGAAAACCTCTTCCTCGCACTGAAATTCTCTAGACCTTCTCCCACTGTAAATTGGAACCTCATCCTGGCTAATTCCAATCCTTTACTTCCATTTGTGCAAGGCATGGAATTCTTTGCAGTGACACTGACTTGTTGGGTCCCTTGGTCAAGTCACTTAACCTCTCCATAGTGTAATTTTCCCATCTGAAAAAGGGGGACAGTGGTACTGACTGACTTGGGGAAGGGGTGTTGTAAGGTGGACTTCCTTCTGGTTTAAGAGCTTTTTGCTCTTTGGATGGAAAGTGCTAAAGAAGTACTAAGGACTAGTAGTAAAGGCCACTTCAAAAGGTGCTATGAAAGCAAGGCTTTGGCTGCTAAAAGAACCTTCCCTCCACCACTCTGTGCTGTAAACTATGGAGGGGCATCTCCTCTGTTTGTATTTCTGCCTTGCAGGCCTCGCTTTGTCTCAGTGGGTTTGAAAACTGAATATCCTGTCAGTATTCTATGCAGTAGTCTCCCCAGTTTTCTCCCAAATACTGTGGCTCGGCAGAGGAGCTTTTAATAACCTGGCAGCAGAAAAATAGTAAGAATAGGTGGCCAAGAGAAGACACGTTTGGGCTCCCCAGACCTTTCCTCCCCTCGGGATGGTCTTCCTGAGTTGAGTCTCTTACTAGCCTCACATTGCGCCTTTTAGAATGAGGAACAAGCATAGTGACACTCAAGATACTTTGAATCATCCAGTCAGACTATTTCAGTGGGTGGGAGGAAACAGGCTTGCTTTCTCCTCTTCCTTCTCTCGTCTTCATTCCTTTGTCCCTTTGCCAAACATTCCTGTTAACTCCTCTGATGAAGCAGTGCGAGCCTCCCTTTTGGCACTAACCTGAAGCATGTAACTCTGGTAATGTTCTGATTTGGGTGAGAGGGCCCTGTCTGGCTAGACTGAAAGGGCTGTGATCTCTTATTAACTCCCAAAGGCTGTTACCCCTACAGCACTGTGTTCTCAAATACCCCTCCCTTACCAGCAAGTCCCTGGTTTAGTACACTGGACTGCTGAAACCTCATTCCCCACAGTGAGGAAATGTTTTTTTTTTCCCTTGCCACTTTTCTGGGTCACATTTGTAGTGATTTGGATCCCCGGCCTCCTTTTTCCCCCCTTTTGTTTACCCCATCCTCTCCTCTACTCATCAGTCACAGACTGGTGAGGGTGGATTGCTTCTGGGCACACTCAGATATCACCCTTCGGTGTCAGTGAGAGATCCACCATGTTCTGCAGGGCGTTCCAAGGGCCCGTCCTGGCCCTTTGGAATGTCGTCCAGCTGAGATGGCACAACCTATTCAGCACAGAGATTGATGGTTAATGGGGTATGTGTCTGTAAAAATGGGGTCTGGGGCTGTGTGTTGTGTTGTATATCTTCAGTTTGCTTTGGTTTTGTGTTTTGTTTTGTTTTTGTGTTTGTTTTTTGTTTTGTTCTTTTTTTTATTTTGTTTTAATGCTTACGTTTGTTTTGCAGCCACACAGTCTTGTGAAGAGAAGCTTCTTGCCTGGGACAGCCCAGGGCAGACATTGGAGTTAGAGCGTGCTCAGTCGGAGCCCTTGCTAACTCCAGTAGTTCCATTTGTACTTAACAGTCCACCGTGTAAGTTAGCAGTTGGCTAGTAGTAGTGGAGTAGTACAACTAATATTAGTTACCTTAGATATTTAGTTACCCTCCTTTTCTTCATCCTTATGCTCCTCATCCTCCTATTCCCAATTCAGAGAGATGGAATGACTTTCCATGCTACAGCTGATGCCAGGACTTTGTGAATGGCTAGAAACGAAGTCACTGTAACTGGTGACAAGTACCATGGTTTAATATACAGTCACCAAAGCATTTCTGCTGTTGAAGCTGTCTTTGTGTGTGCACACAGACTACTGTCTTCCTCTGTGTGGAAGTACATTCTGGGAGAATCTGGTCTCCTCTTCCGAATTACATCTGTATACAGGGTTGCACCAGCAAAAGGTGGGGTAATGTGCTCCAGAATAAGAACCCCCTTCCCCTCCCCAGATCATGTAAGCAAACAATTACTGGATGAATGTGGTGAACCAATTATAAGACCAGCCAAGAGCCAGCCTGTGTCTCTGGCAGGGATGATGTGCTTTCAAGCTGTCATTGTTGCTAAATGTTTGAATTGTAATACATATATATAATATAGATAGCCACAAGTCATGACTAAAACCATCCGTGCCTCTTAAGTGGCTACAGATTTGGTTAAAAGTTGTAGTGTGGGCAGGACTTTAGAGTTAATTGTCCCGTATTGGTGGAGATCCTTGCCTCATCAGTGCTGGAAGCTCACACTCCCGAGTCTTCCTTTCGGCAGTGCTCTGACAGTGTCGTGCAGGATGAGTCTAAGGGACAGTGGTATGATGGTAAGGATTTCAAGAGATCAACAATTGGACTTCCCAAGGGCTTTGTGTTTGTTCCTTGGCTTACTCTTCCTGTTGCTTTCTTCTGGAAGGGTAAGTTGGTGAGGCCCTGCTTATTTTCACCTTGATTGATAGGCAGTAGTGCCTCACTGCATGAAATCCAGGGACTCTCTCCAATGGAGGAGAAAAGGGAATGAATCTATGTCATTCTGATAGCTTTGCATGTACAGTCAATGCAGGGAGGAAAGCATGGTTTTATGCCTGAAATGCAGTCAGTCCTGCTGTGTATATTGGATTTGGGGGCAGGGAGCATAAGACAGACATTAAGATGAGCTAGCACAAGACTTTTATGGTTTTAGGCTCCTTCACTTGTGCCAAATGAAATCTTGCTCCATTCTCCTCCCTGGGCTCAGGATTCTATCTCTTTGTCACAGTTATACTTTTCACAGAATTGGGGACCCATGGGTGGATCCAGAGCAGGTGTGGCAGCGTGGTTTTCCTTCCCACTTTTTGGCTGTTCCACATGTTAGCTCTCAGCACAGGGTCTGGCCAGAGTCTCTGCTTTCTTGCAGCTCTGGAGCCAGGGATGAGTACTGCCACCACTGTTCATCACCTCCTTTCCCTTGCTGCTGAATCCAGCAGGGAGGGGAAGGCAGAAGGGCAGATGGCAGCAGCTGTCACCCCCTTAACTCTGCAGCTACACAAAAGCAGGGGCTCTGACTGCCCCAATTAGCTGGTGAACTCAAAATTTGCTGCTTACATAGAGCTCTGGCAGGAGCCTGTGCTGATCAGGCAGCAAGCCTGAAGGTCACTAGGCATGTTTGGCACAGCCAAAGGAGAGGGTGTTCCTCCCTTGCTCCATTCCTGAATCCACTACTGATTACCCATGCAGCACATGGTTGCATATAGATTATGCTATACACTGCTTCTGCTGCCAGAGCACGCACAGTGAGATTAGCTTATGCTACTAACTAAAACATTTCTGTGGCTTGCTGCCTGACTTAACTTCCTTGGTGGATTTCAGGCATGTATGGGTGGTAGTCTCCTACAGCAGGTGAGATATGACCCTCTTGTGCCTTATCTTTGGCAGGCACTGGTAGTATGAAATGTCCATATGGGATATGGGAGGCAGCCACAAACAGCACAGCAATATTTAGACTACTTATTTCTATGTTTAAATATGCCACCGGTATGAAGTCTAGGTATGTGACAGTAGTTTACCCAATAGCTGCACTTAGAGGCAAAGGAAGGGAGGGGAGGCAGCTATATAGATGGGCTCAGGTATACTTAGCTGTGTGTTTATATATGCGCATTTGGTGCAGAAATGAAGCTGATGCATGTGAATTCATGTATGCTAGCCAAAAATAAGAAGGAAGATTCATTACACTAAGTACTTAAGCTGCTGCTGGGTGTTCTAATAAAACCAAGTCATTGCACAAGCCTTGCCATGATGGGTGGGTAGTGATGACAAGTTGAAGGGAGATGCTGAAGTGTAGGAAGTAGGAAGCCTGGTAATGGAAAGACTAGGTGTGCTGATGCGTGAGATTTGGGTCCACAACAGACAGGTCATTCGTCCATCTTTAAGTTCATTAAGGGGAGTTAGATAATTGTAGTGCTAATCACATACTGAGAGAGGATACAGAAGCAGTCCAATTACAGGGTTGTATGCCTGACAGAAAGCTAACATGGTGCGAGTGTGTAGCCTCACAACATAGGTGAATGGGGTCTGCTAGTGCAGCAAGCCATCTTGCTATGGTTGTCTCACTAGTTTGTGAAAGCCATCCCTACGTATGTCCAAATATTTTGTTTGCAGTGCTCTCAAAATATGGTGGGTAATTATTGGTGATGCTAGTAAGTAGGGTGCTGGGGGATTTTTTGTTGGCTTGATTTTATAGTAACAATATAGTTATTTCCTTTTTACAGCAGATACAGGTTCAAATTTTAAGATTTTTTTTCAAGTTGCCACATACACTGTACACTCTCTCAGGGTCCCTTTCTTATAGTACCTGGAAACAGCTAGAGCTGTCATTTATTCTAAGAAGCTACCATGGTCCCTAGGACAGGCCTTTCTTGAAGAAAAATGCTTGAGTCTTTATTCCCCTTTTCCCTGCATCCTAGGATCACCATTTCCCTTTCATACTATTGACCCCATACCTTTATATGGATGGCTGTCTTTACTGCCCATGTCTTGAATGCTGGGATCAAGGCTAGTGGTGTCCTGCAGGTTGTCCAGTAGGATGTACTTGATTGCCACATCCAGCCATTCAGAGTTGATGCAGTTAAATTGCTTTCTGTTCTTGTCCACAGTGCGTAAACAAGAGATCATTAAGATAACAGAGCAGCTAATAGAAGCCATCAACAATGGAGACTTTGAGGCCTATACGTAAGTATGGTCAGTCAGAACATACTAGTTCTGACAGTTGTTTTTTACGTGTCAGTTGGTATGCAAGTAGCTTAATGGCCTCCTGCCCTAAGCAAGGCAAGCAGGTTGATACAGTGGGAGGAGCTGTACAGCTACATGGCAAGAATCAGGCTTTAGTCTTCAACTAGTTTGGGTGGTTCAGTATGGTAGAGCTCTTTAATGGGCACCTGGTCCAAGAGTAATAGCAGCAGAAAGGTTGGCCAAAAGGAGCATACCTGGTAGTCTTTTATAGAGGTGGGGAAAAGTCAGTAGTAGATCATAGAGGGAGGAAGAGTGAAGGAACAGCCTTGATGTGACATGTAAAGCTTGACTTAATTTGGCTAAAACATGGAACAGAAAAAAAAAATGTACCAGTTACTGCCAGCCCTGTATCTTCATAGTGGGTAACAATTCCAGGCTTGGGCAGTGTCTGGGAAAAGGCGTAGTACTAGTCATATAACAACATGTCTAGGTCTTTATTGGTTTATAAGAGCTCCTGGAGCTTGGGGCTCATTTTGAGACAAGGTGACATGTATTCAGTTCAATAAGAAGAAGGAATATTCCTTTTTTTCCTGCAGGAAAATATGTGACCCTGGCTTGACCTCATTTGAACCTGAAGCCCTGGGAAACCTAGTTGAGGGGATGGACTTCCACAAGTTTTACTTTGAGAACTGTGAGTGGATTGATTCTGGCAATGCAAACAGTCTCCTCCATGCCCTCCTTCATGTCCCCTTATTTCTTGGGGAAATTGCTGCAATTTTCCTAGGCCACCAGGCTTTCGTTATGCATGGATTGTGATGGATTGTTAAGAGCCAATGTGTTTTCACTGAAAAAACCTTCTTCCCTTGTCAGATATGATTTCCTTTTTCACCCTTTTTTTCCCACCATTTTTCTTTTACCATGGGAATGACATAACTAATCTTGCAAACATCAGATGGAGGGAGAACCAGTAGTTCAGACTAAGATGCTGCATTTCCTATCTGTATGGAAGTGGTATGAGAATCTAATTTACATGGTAGAAACAGCCTGCACAGTCATTTGAAGAGAGGAGGGTTTTTCCCTGTCATGCATGTAAGGACCTGATTTTCTGTTTTGTGCAGATCACTGGAATTTCTCCAGTTTAAGGGATCTCTAACCTCTAGCAAACCCTTTAATGATTGGATCTAGGTGCTCCTTTGTCAGAGTGGTTGGGAAGGGAATCTGGGTAAATGCTTTCTAAATAACCGTTTAGGCCTTTTGGTCTTCTAAACTTCACTGAAGTCTTCTGCAGCCTCCTCTATCCGGCAGCCTCCACAGAATGAGGCAAAAGGCTATCCTAAGCTGCTGCACTCAGTTGGGCTGGGGGAGGCAGTCAAGACCGCTGCTTAACATAACCATTCCTGTGTTTGTAAAAGGGAAGAATATCCTTTGTAGCTTTCTTACTGTCTGCTTTATTACTGTCGAATGACTTGAGGCCTGCTGGTCTTTGGAAAGGGCATGTTTCATGGCTGTATTTTAGTAACATTTTTATAATGAAAAGAACTCTCCTGTAGTTTGAGACAGCAGTAGCTGATGGATGAGGAAGCTCTGAGGATAAAGAGGCTAAGTTCCCATGGGGTAGGGGAGGTGGCTGGGAAGGAAACGATTTGTTTTTTCTAAGGACTTTTAAGAGAAGGAGTTGCTCTATCCTAGGATACATTTGGGAGCAGCAGATTTGATGCTGAGGAGAAGACTTTCTTTCGATGGGGAATTGAAACTGATAGATTTTTATGTTCTGCCAGTATTGTCAAAGAACAGCAAGCCAATCCACACGACCATCCTGAACCCTCATGTCCATGTCATTGGTGAAGATGCAGCTTGCATTGCCTATATCCGCCTGACACAATACATCGACGGTCAGGGCCGGCCCCGCACCACGCAGTCTGAAGAGACTCGTGTCTGGCACCGTCGTGATGGCAAGTGGCTGAACGTCCACTATCACTGCTCTGGGGCCCCTGCAGCACCGCTCCAGTGAGGATCAAACACAGGTATGGTCCACTAGGGAGGGTTGTATTCCATGGATGTAGCTGACTCTGCTGTCAGTGGTGGCCCAGAATGTTCAGTGGCCTTTTAGATTAGTGACCGTTCTCTAGTTAGCCACAGACAAAGTGGAGCTGCCTAAAAAGTAGTTAAGATAGGGAAATGTTTCCCTCGACCCAGCAAGGCAGAGCACTTAAATCCTCCCTTCTCCCTGTGGCATTCACTTTCCGAGCAGACGTTATACGGACATAGTAAAACCACTGAGCATTGCTGACAAACTGGAGTCATGACCTCTGCAAGTCTGGCACCATCGAGGGGATTTCAGGGTGCTACACTGAGAAAGCTGGTACCTGCAGTTGGAGACAGTTGTATCTGCCTCCAAGCCACAATAACCTCAGGGCACTAACCTGAGGCTATAGACCAGATAAACTGGTGAAGGCATGCATGAAATGGACGCACCTTGAAGTGTGCTGGGTTTCACCTCCCCTGGTCCTTGAGTACTGGGAGGGTCTCCATCTTTTTCTGTCTGGTCATGCTATAATTAAAAGTCTGGAGTGCCAGACTACCACAAAACTGGAGTCTGATTAGCTGGGGAAAAGATGGCACATGCTGAGTGCAACCTAGGTCAGAGACAGGCATATGCTAGCAATGTGAGTAACACAAAGGCAAAGAAATCTGCTAAAACACAAGAATACATTTCAGATTGAACTAAGTAAGGGCAGTGGTGACCCCCAAGGCAAATTATAGGGAACTTCTAGGATGTCAGATTGAGAAGGTCCAGCCTCCAGTGCAAACTTGAAATGCAAACTTGAAATGCCTGTATAACTGAGAGGCATAAAACCACAAATGAGTGAATGAGAATGCCTGACAGCAGGGGGTGCTTGATGCAACATGATGAAATGCTTAGTTCCTGTATGATATTTTAGCAGTTGGCTATGAATGCAGATGATATCAGAATCTGTCAAAGAGGGAGGAAGTTGCCTTAGATTTTAATGATTGCCTAGAATTTTTGAGAGAATTTCAAAAACAAGAGACCACAAAGTGTAATCTGCAAGGCACAAACCCAAGTTGCAGAATATAGATGGACTGGTTTAAGTTTTACTATCAGCCTTCTGATCAGCAAAAGGATAGCCAGTGCACAATGTTGAGAGAGATCATAGGAAAACAAATATGGAGAAACAGGAATATTGGAGGACTTTAAAATACCCACCTGTAAATTAGTCAAGCATCACAGGGAAGCAAGGTTTGACTATAAAGGTCAACACCTTGAAACAATCATTTCTTGGTTCTGAAACCATTTGGCTCAGAGAGCCTTATGCAGCATATTATCTAGCCACGCTGGCTGGTTTCTTGCCTTCGCACATTCTCTTCAGAATATGCAGGATTCTTGCCTTTTATAGCTCTCATGCTGAGTCTTAGGATCTACATTTCGGAACAGGAGCTAGTAAAAAATATCCTACTCCTATTTAGAAAAAAAGATCAATAATTTTGGTGTCAATAGGCAAGGCTTATTTTTCCCTGGGGATGCTGAACTAGTTAAACTTAGTGTGTTGCTTAGGATTAAGTCAAACATAGGTTTCCCTCTTGTGTGTTTTAGAGGGATTTGACCCTACCAAAGGCAGTAGAAAGGGGCATAAACTATATCCAAAATTTGTATAATGGATATTGGGATAACCAAAGTTAGGTTTTGAAGGGGAAAAAGCCAAAGATACAAAAGCAATAATAATGTTAAGGCAAGAACTTTTGTGAACATTTGTGGGTCCACTGGATTTTAGTGGAAGCAAAAAAGAGGATAAGGGCTTTGCAGGAAAGTGGAATGACTTATTTCCATCAGTTTTCACCATAAGGGTAACCTCTACCCTAGACCCTACTCTTTTCTGTGGATTCCAAACAAAGTGTAACCCCTCATAACAAAGCCTGGATATCAGTGGGGACAACTTTCTGAAAACATCTGCTTGTTCTGGAGTGATGCACTGAATGCAATGAAGTGTTAGGCTGGAGAAGAAGGGGATGGGAGAAGATACTAAAAATATTGCAGTGCAGTGATAGAAATCAGTTGCAAGCCCTCACCTGGAATTCAGAGTTCAGTTCTGACCAGCTTTCCATATAAAGGACACAGAAGAACTAAGAGGATAAGCAATAGGGATGGCTAGGTGCATGAGAAGAGATTGCCAGTTTGGTGAGGAGTAAGAAAGGATGTGGTGAAGAGAAGCAAACTGAAGACTAGTGGAGAGAATGGAAATAAGAAGTACTAGTTAGTCTCTCAGCATAAGGCTGATGAGGTCAGTGATGGAATTGAAGAACAGCAAACTGATAAAACACACAATTAACCTGTGATGATAATTGCGAGAAGACACCACGGAGGCCAAGAGCTTAGTGGGACTTGGGGGAATAAATGAGGCAGGTACAGATAATGCAACTGTCTGGAGTTACATGAGAAATAATTTAAAAAGCCAATTAAAATGGAAATGTGAGTGTGAAGTCTTCCTAACCCCAGTAGGAGCTGGACTTCAGCTGGGGGTGAGGAAGAAAGTGTTCCTTTGCAGCCAGTTGCCCCATAACCACCCACTTGGGATTTTCCTGCAGTGTCTTCTGAAGTGCCTGGAACTGGGCACAGGTGGAGACAGGATACTATCCTAGAAGGATCTTGGGTCTTACCTAGTCTGTCAGTTCTTTTGATTTAACCTCCTAAACCTCCCATCTCACTGTAGTGCTGAGATTCATCTTGCAGCAAGTGATGAGGGTTAACTAGGATTCCCTCTGCCAACCTCAGAGCTCAGCAGTATGTCATCTTACTTTACCACTAGGATTCACCCTCCCAACCTTGAGCACAATGGGGAAGGCAAGGTGTATTTTGCCTCTTACTGTTCTCCTGCCCAGCCCAGATTTATTTTGCATTTGTGTGGAGTGGTGGGAATGGTTTAATTTCTCTTGTGTTCTTGGGTTCGCTCTCCCGGACTGTCGTGCTGCATAGTTTCTTGCCTGTTTTCATGAGCTTGCGGAAAAATTGCTTTGTATAAATTCCTCAGTTAACTTTTGACTTTTATTTCCCTTCCATCTTCCACCTCATTCTCTCTTCTCCTTTCTGGGCGGACACTACCTTTTTCCTGACTGCAGCAGCTTTTGGAGATGCTCAGCGGGAGGGCAATATCTTCTTAGCAAGCGGCTCTGGAGTGCCTGAGTAACAGCAACGGTCGTGTCCGTTTTGACGTTTAAAAAAAAAAGTAACAAATTACAAACAGGCAGCAGCCAAATGCACGAAACCCTGCATGCATCTGATGCTCCGGGCGCTGCCGTCTTTCTGTTGTTTTCCATGGATCCATCGTGTCTGTTTCTGCTGTACGAAGGTGTTTTTTAAATCTAAAAGAGACATGTTGTTTGTATAAAATAACACAAAACAGGAATAATGCTAAATAAATGACAGATTATTTGATGCCCCCTCCCCCAGGGCTGATGACGTGGCAGCAGCTGGAGCATCTTTCAGAAACCAAGAGAGGGGAGAAGCAAAAGCAATGGAGAGTGGTGGGGGGATAGAAAGAGAGAGAGAGAGAGGGAGGAAGGAGAAGGCACCTTGGGCAGCAGATTTCTGAACTCTGCTCTGCAAAGCCAAGGTGGAAGCTGACATGGTGTTTAGGCTGTGCTGTAACTTTAATCAGTGAGAAGTGGTGAGGAGGTCCCGGAGGAGCTGGTGTGAAAAACAGGGAGACAAAGTGGAGGAAAGAGACATCTCCTTCCTGCTGCCCAGTGGACTGACTTCAGCCTGAGTTTCTTCGTAAATCTTCCGCACGGTGAGAATGCTGCAGAAAGCTGGTTGCTCAGCCGCTGGATCCCACAAAAAGACTCTTTAAAAACAAAATGGGATGTTTATTCCCAGCTAAGGATGGAAGTAGGGAAAATAACAATGGTTTAAATTAAAATAAATAAGTAAAATACGAGCTTGCTCTTCAGATGATACTGGTTTTAGAGAGACAGCCGCTACCTGGCCGAACATGGAGATTTGAAGCCAGTTTATTTAAAAAAAACAATGATGATGAAAAGTATTAAGAGCAAAGATTTTAAAGGAAGAGGGTACATGTATGGGATTTTCTTTAATTTTTTTTTTCTTTCTAGTAACATAGCTGGGATCCACAGTGCTACAGAATATATATGTTCCTTAAGAAGCAGATGAGAAACCTAGTGTTATGTTCTTTCATGAAGACTTGCATACACTCCTATATGATGCATAATTTAGTGTGTGTTTTTTATACTGAAATATATGCACCCATAGAATTAGGGGGCTCACTGCCTTCCAGTTTGAGTTGTTTGTTCTCCAAATAAAGTAGCAGAGGGAGCCAGCAGCTGTTGCTTCTCCCCCACCAATAACTCCTCTAATGTTTGTAGGCATCCTGTTTCTTGGTGTTCATTTGGATATTTTTCCTATTTTTATGGTGATGTTGTAACTTGGAAAACTTTCAGATCAGAACCGCAGTGTACCACAGCCAGGCTCCAGGCCACCTCCTGGCATTTTCTCTCTCTATTATAGAGGATAACTCATGAAATCGAGGGAAAAGTGAGTTGCCGAATGTGATCTGATTGTCCTTTGGGCCAATTCATCTTTCTGTTCCCTGTCTTTGTGGGGCGGGAATCCGTTTCCTTTATTTGGTAGGTGGGAAATGTTGAACCTTTTCTTTTTCTGTTTTTCTTGACTTATGAATAAACCCTGACCCCAAGGATGAAAAGGGCTTCTAGTAAACCTTTTTAGTGCTTGGACACACCATGACTTGTGTCCTGACCAAGAGAGAGGCAGTTGCTTTGCTTCTTTTGGTAAATTGGAGGGAATACAGGTACAGACTTATTCACAACTCCAAATCACAAACTGTGGTCACAGGGCTTTCCAGTAGGTAATCCCTGCATTCCAGAGAGACTGAAAACATAGTATATTAAAAGGGACGAAACATTTTAACAGATCTGGAGAAAAGGGAAAGCTTAGTTATAAAGTGACCATTGTTGAGCAGAACAGAGGGGAAGAAAACAGAAGCTGTAGCACAGAATGGAGTTAAATCCTTGCAGTAGAAATTTCTCCACTCTCATTTAGGAGACAATTAAGTCAATCTCACTCCATTATTAGAGCAGCTGATCCATGATGCTTCCCAAAGCTTGTCTGAACAAATAGTTTTCTTCCTCCCTCCAGCACCCTAAGTGCATGTATAGGCAAAGTGAGGACTGAAACAAGAGGAGGCAAACACTAGATTTTATTATTTTTGGAACATTTGTAAGATGGCACTAAGATAGTGAGTGAGGTGGAAAGAAAAAGCTTTGATATTTTATTCAGATTTTTTTAAGCGACAAAGAGAGAGCAAACAGGAGACTACAATTATGCAGTTTTAAAAAGCAACATACAAGAAGTTATGCATGCCTTCTTTAGGTCTGATCTTTCCTTGTCTCTTTACCTGATGATTATTAATGATTAAAAACCCTCTGTATTTAGTATCTGCATCTTTCAAAGAAAATGTTAAATTGTTGGGTTTTTTTGGTTTTGCACAGTCTTGAAGACTAACTGTTTTTTCTTTTAAGTTAATGAGAACCTTAGCTTGGTATGGCCATTATCAGACACAGCTGTACACCTTTAGCATTCTTAATGTTCTCTTATGGGGCTAATATAAGCATCTATATAATATATATTATAAATATCATGTTTTAAACAGGAAATGGAAGGTGTTTGATGCAGAATTTTTGCATGATATAGAAATTAAAACAAAGTTAGCTAGTGTTTGTTTGTTTGGTCTGAATGTTGGTAGAACCTTCATAGCTTTGTTACAATGAAACCTTGAACTGACGATATTTAATAAAATAACATTTAAACAGTGCAACAAGTTGAATGGCATTTCTCTTCTGTAAATAGGGGACATGGTGAAAATGGAACTTTCTGGGATCAGATCTTTTCTAAAAGCTGGTCTGATGAAATCCAGTAGATGCCTTGTGATCACACATGTCATACTTTGCAAAAACTTGCATGTATACAGCTCTGGCACTTCCAGAAATGACTAGATACTGACATTCAGAAGACACAGTGGATTCTTTCTGAGACAATTTTATGGTAGTTCTAGACTAGTACTGTTGGCCTGGGCCTTGAGAGACCTGGGTAATTCCTAATGCTGGGCTGGACTTGTTGTCTGGTTTAGGGCAAGTCTATGTCTCTGCTTCCTTTCCCACCCTCTATTTGATCTGCTTAGATTGAAGCTCTCTTGAGGAGAAAAGTTTTATCATTAATTGACAACTTGTATGAACCCCATAAGGTAATTATAAATTCTCAACGGGAAATTCCTGGACATGTGTACTTGAGGTTTGGCCTAAGTTAAACAGCAGACATTTGTGTCCTCCAGCTAAAGCTGGGGCAGTGCCCCAGGTGAGTATTGTAAGCACATTGGTTATACTATAGTCTATACCAATGGTTCCCAATCTGTGGTACAGGTATCACCAGTGGTGTGCACCTGTCAGTGGTACATGTTAACAGATTTATTATAATTACTTTATATGACAGAAATTTGCTGGTAGTACTTAAGGTTGTATTGTTTTAAATTGGTGGTGCAGTCTGTCCAATTATGGCTTCTCTCATGAAGTGAATGGTAACATTTCCTCCCCAGGACTGGTTAGCATCAACCTGTTTGTTTGGGTTTTATTATAATGCCCACTGTTGTATTCTGTGGTGCTCTATTAGTAGTGACAGAAGGATAGACAAGGCCCCCATATCTTAATCACCATTTCATCTAGACCTCCCAATTTTATGGATATGCACATTTATTGCCACCACTGCTGGATCTGCACAAATCATAATATGGTAAGAAACATTGGGCAGGTCTATCCTGCAATCACCAGAATTGCCTTTGAACTACCTGAATGGAATGTCATGTCAGTCTAATCTGGCAGCATAGAGCCTAACCACTGCCCTGCCCACTTCGTTTGAATATTCTCCCAGCTTATATGAGTCTTCCAGCCCATACTGAGATCTGTGTTGCTGTGGCTACTCTGCTACTGGTACCCAAGTTAGTTTTAAAGCTAGTTTAGGTATGTCAGTTTGGCACTTCAATCACAACAGTGCAGATGTACCCTTGCAGAAAATCCTAGTGTACTGTAGACAATAACTTTCCCTCCTGCTGCAAGGTTTAATCTAGTTCTTTGAATAAAACTCATGTCTGGGCCCAGAGCTCCGTGGTAGCGGCAGAACCCACTGTTGTGCTGGCAGGGTCCCCACCCCCATTTGGAAGCCAACAGAGGGCATATGTAGAAGTTTGCACACACTTTTTGAGCTGCCATGTTCCCTTCTGCAGGTATAAATTGAGCTCTGGTAACACATCTCCACCCTCCGTGAAACCACACAGAGCCACCAGAAGCATCTGACAATGCTAGCTGCTGCCAGGCATTCTAGTAACGGAGTGAGGTATGTCAGGGCTGTTCAAGTAGCTGCCTGCAGGCCACATCCAGTCCTAGGGGTTAAGCTGTG